GCCTTTAAACTGCTTGTCTTCATACATTTTAATCTGCTTTGCTCCTATATACGATGTTTACCTAAACTGCTTGCCAATCAGAATGTTGTATATTATGTATCCCAAAATCCGATCTATATAGTTTTGTACAGTCTGAATTTACTGTTTTTTTTTCTTTTTTTTCAGATAGCCCTCATTCAGTGTGTTTTAGTTCCTCATGTTTCGTGATGTTTTCATCATAAGCTTATGTTTATTAAGCGTCCAGATGAGAGCTGAGCCCTGGTGGCACCTTGATTATAGTCAGAGGACCTGGCTCAGCCGTACCTAGACTCCTAACCCACAAAAACTGTGGGATGGTATATGTGTTTGTTTAAGCAACAGAAAAAATGACATAATTAGCTTATCTTAACTCATATAAAATGCAAATACAAATAATTTAATGGAACAGAATAGTAGGTGCAGTAGCTGAGTCACACAGATATAAGAAAATTTGAATCTTCAAATTATAGCAAAGAATAAACAATTCAGTAAGAAGTTTCAGAAAATAATATCCATTTGAAGAAAAATTATACTATATTCATACTTAATATTATATAGAATATAAATGAGGTGGATTAAATATCTAAATGTAAAAAATACAAAACATTTTTACATGTATGCATTTAATGCATTCATATATAATGCGGAATAATCACAAAATGAGATTTTTATAATATTGTGATGATTGAAGCATTATTAAGATATGAAAAGGATGTTATATCTGACAATATTTAAAACTAATATGCATAAGCATATATTTCATTAATGCTTTGGTGGAAAAAGCATTCCTTTTATTTTTAACCTTTTATTTTGAGGTAATTATTGCATCACATACAATTATAAGAAATAATAGAGAGAAGCTCAGTATACCCTTCACCCGGTTTCCCCATTGGTATCATCTTCCATAACAATACTACGATAACACAACCAGGAGAAGGCATTTGACAGTCTCTCAACCTTATTCAAATTTTACCAGGCTTATATATGCTCATTTGTGTGGCTGTATATTTAGTTCTATAAAATTTTAGCACATATGTACATTTATTTGGTCACCTCTTTAGTCTAGATAGAGAACATTTCCATCAAAAGGATCAGTTGTGGTACCTTTCATAGCCATACTCACTGACTCACTGCGCTTCCTTCTCTAGTATGTTACCCTCTAGCAACTACTGCTCTCCATCTCTATGATTCTGTCATTTCAAGAATGTAATATAATTGAGACTCATACATTGTGTAATCATTGGAGATTGACTTTTTTTTTCCACACAGCATTATTCCCTGAGAACCATCGAAGGCATCCCATGTAGATAGTCCATTCCTTTATATTGCTGAGTAGTATTAAGTGGTATTGGATTTGTTTCCATCCCAGTTTGTTAAGCATTCACCCTTTGAAGGACATTCGTGTTGTTCCCAGTTTTGGGCTACTAAAAATGAAACTACTGTGATCATTGATTTTTTTTTTTTTTTTTTGTATAATGTAAGGTTTTATTACTCCAGAAACAATATGTAAGTGTGATGATTGTTAGGTCGTAGGAGAATTGCATGTTTAGTGTTTTTTTGTTTCATTTTAAGACTTGCCAAAATGTTTCCCAGAGTAGCTGTATCATTTTGCAACCCAGCAGCAATGCATGAAGTAATGCATCTCCACATTCTTGTCAGCACTTGCTGGTGTCACTATTTTTATTTTAGCCACTTTCATAGGTATATAGTGATATCTCATTGCTGTTTTGATTTTCATTTCACTAATGGCAAATGATGTTGAGTATCTGCCTACCTTCAGTTAAATGCTTATTAAAGACTTTGCCCATTTTCTAATTATTTTCTTTCAATTTTTCAGAGTTTTTTATATATTCCAGATATAAATTCTTTGTTAGATATGTGGCTTGCAAATGTTTTCTTCCAGTCTGTAACTTGTCATTTCATCCTCTTCGTATGCCTTTTCTAGAGTAAAATGTTTGAATTGTGATGGGGTACCATTTGTCAAGTTGACTTTTTATGAAATGTGCTTTTGATAACAGTTGGAACTCTTCACTTAGCCCTAGGCCTTAAAAATACTCTGTTTGTTGTTGTTGTTGTTGTTGTTGTAGAGTTTTACACTTATGCCTGCTATCTATTTTTAGTTAATTTTATGTAAAATGTGAGATTTGCGTTAAGGTTCATTTTTAACATTTGAAAGTCTATATATTTCCAGTTTCTCCAGCAACTTTAAAATGGCTACTTTTCCTCCATTGACTTGCTTTTGCAGCTTTGTTAAAATTCAGTTGAGTATACTTGTATGGGTCTATATCTGGATTACATATTTTTTTCCATGTGTTTATGTGTCTATCCCCTCCAGCAATACCACAGTGACTAAATAGTAAATCTTCCCATTATGTAGACTGATTCTTACACTTTATTCTTTTTTCGAAAGTGTTTTTTTTTTCTTCTATCTAGTGCCTTCCATATAAATGTTAAGATAAGCGTTTCTTTACCTATGAAAGTCCTTACTAGCATTTAGAGAAACAATTGAATCAAACCTATACATTAATTGGAGAGTTGACATCTTTATTATGCGGACTTTTCCAATTGTGAACCAAGTGTGTACATTGATTTTTCCAGTTCTTGCTTGATTTTTTCTCATCAGCCTTTTGTAATGTCAAATACGGATCCTGCACCTGTTTTCTGACATTTATACATAGGTATTTATTTGGGGGAGGAATGATTGTAAATGGTATCATGCATTCCAATCTGTATGCCTTTTATTTACTTTTCTTGCTTTACTTTGCTGGCAAGATCTTCCAGTACTACTTTGCATCCCACGTATTTTGATATGTGTTTTCATTTTCATTTAGGTTTACGTATTTTTAAAAAATTCCCTTTTGACCCAAGGATTATTTAGAAGTGCATTGTCTAATACCAAATGCTTCAAGATTTATCGCTCATGTTTCTGTTATTGATTTCTAGTTTGATTCCATGGTGGTCAGAGAATATATTCTACATACAGTTTCAATTCTTTTAAATTTGTTACTGTTTGTGTTATAGCCTAGGATATGGTCTATCTTGGTCAGTATTCTAAAAGCATTTGAAAAAAATGTATGAATTCTGTAATTTTGGGGTGGGGTGTCCAACTATGTTGATTGGATAATATTGTTTGATTCAATTATTCCGTATTCTTGCTGATGTTGTCTCTAGTAGTTCCATCAATTGCCAAAAAGAGGCGATGAGATCCTGAATTATAAATGTGATTTGTTATTTTATCCTTTCAATGTTATCAGTTTTTGCTTCATGTATTTTGAGGTTCTGTTATCTGAAAGTCATCCATTTAGGATGGTTTTGTATTTCTGGTGGATTGATCTTTTTATCATTATATAAAATGTCTCCTACTTTTCTTTCCTCTGAAGTTTATTTTGTCTCATATTAATAAAGTCATTTCTGGTTTATTTTGATTAATATTTGCATGCTATGTCTCTTTTTATTCTTTTACTTTTAAATTACTGGTGTTTTTACATTTCATAGTGAATGTCTTGTAGATAGCATAGAGTTGGGTGATTTTTTTTAATACATTGCCAACATCTTTCTTTTAATTAGGGTATTTGGGCCATTTATAATTAAGGTAATTGATGATATTGTTAGAATTTAAGTCTGCCATTTTATTATTTGTTTTCTGTTTGTTTCCTTTTTTCTCATTCCTGTTTCTCTTATACTTGCTTCCATGTGTTACTTAAACATTGTGTAGGGTTGCATCTTGATTTGTTTATAGTATTTTAGTCTATAACTTTGAATAATCATTTTAGTAGTTTTTCTGGATAATTTTAAATACAAGTGTCACTTATCACAGTTGTCTTCAGTATTTCTTTTACCTACATTGAGTACTACATCAAACTATAATTTTTGCCTCAACCTTCAAAGATGATTTAAAAGCTCATGAAAAAAAAGAGAGCCTATTATATTTTATCCTTATTTTACTTATTATGGTATTCTTTGCTTTCTGAAATTCCAAGCCTTCTGTTGTAATTGCTTTTCTGTTTAGGAAGTTTCCTTAAGCCGTTCTTGGAAGGTAAGCTTGTTATTACAACTTCTCTTAGTTTTTCTTTTTTTCTTTTGAGAATGCCTTTATTTCCCCTATCATGTCACTGAAATATATTTTTGCTGAATGGTATTGACAATTTTTTCAGCACTTGCTTTCAGGTGACAAGTTCCTTTCATTCAGTTGATGTTTGTCTATGAGTAATGTGTTCCTTTCTAGTAGCTTTTAATGTATTTTATTTATTTTTTTGCTTTTAGTCTTCAGAAGTTTCATTGTGCTTCGTCTTGGTGTGGATTTCTTTGGGATTATCCTATTTGTGGCACAGTCAGGTTCTGGAATCTGTAGGTTTATATCTTTCATAAAATTTGAGAGGTTTCAGCCATTATTTATTCAAACACTTTTTAGTTCCACTCTCTCTCCCGTCCTTCTGGAGCCTTTACGATATAAACGTTAGCTGTATACTTACTGTCTCACAAGACTGTGTTTATGATTCTTTCAGTCTCTTTTTTCTCTGATGGTTTGTATGGATTCTCTTCTCTCATTTCAATTGTGATTTTCCTCCTACCTGCTATGACAAGTGATTTTCAGTTGTATCTTGTACATTTTATATTGTGGGACTCTGGATCCAATGCAAGCTTCTTTTTTTTTTTGAGACGGAGTCTCACGCTGTTGCCCAGGCTGGAGTGCAGTGGCGCGATCTCGGCTCACTGCAAGCTCCGCCTCCCGGGTTCCCGCCATTCTCCTGCCTCAGCCTCCTGAGTAGCTGGGACTACAGGCGCCCGCCACCGCGCCCGGCTAATTTTTTGTATTTTTAGTAGAGACGGGGTTTCACTGTGGTCTCGATCTCCTGACCTTGTGATCCGCCCGCCTCGGCCTCCCAAAGTGCTGGGATTACAGGCTTGAGCCACCGCGCCCGGCCGCAAGCTTCTTTTTTATTAGGTAGTTCCCTTGTCGAAGTGTAGTGCGAGGACCAGTTAGATATATATGTTGAGAGTCACATCTGCAAATAGGGAGCTTTGTTTAAGAAAGATGGGTTGGTAGTGCAGCTCCCTGATGGCATTTATATTAAGGACCTGTATTGAAAAAGACCCAGGGAACTCAGCACCGTGTCTTCCTTTCTCAAATCGCAAAAGTCCTAGGCAGCCCTTCCTCCTTCCACACTTCAGTACTTTTCTATTCTTTGCTTTTATCTTGTTCCGGGATTGTTAGTTGTAAGAGGGAGAATCTGGGAGGAATGTGGCTGCTCCATTCTAGTGGGATCCTTTTGAATTTTACGAGGCAAATATCAGAGTATGTGCATATCTTGCAATACGACTTTTTAAAATTAAAGCTTATTTATGAAAAAAACATATATTTACATCTTAAAATCACAGTAACACATTTTAAAGAAAGTTATCTAGAGATAAATCTGAATTACATTTCAGAAACAGTTACTAGAATGTCAAAATCACATGTAAACATTTTGCAAAGCACACTGATGGTTTACAAGGAAATTTGAATCAGATCTTGTTGGCACTTTGAGAGAGATTGTAGTAGATGGGCTATGTAGACGCAAAAATAAACACTTTTCTGAAATGTTATGGCAATGAGATAGGAGCTTTCCTTTAAAGCAAAAGACCTGTTTTGTCTTATAGTATTATACAAAGAGAATGTGAATGTTAAAATTGGAAGTGCAAGCGAAGTTTTCTTTTGAAATTTTTCATCCTAAAACTATATCCACATCACTGAAGCTTTTCTGTTCAAAAGTTTTACAGCAGCACCAGAATGACAGAAGATCTGTATTGGGTTCTGAGTTGGATACTTACTACCTCTTCACCTGACTTGTCTACACTGTCAACTTGAATAACCAGTGAAAAATAATGAAATAATGGCGATCAACCCTCTTCTGCTCTTGGCATCTCAGCTTTTCCAAAGCCTTAAATCTCCATCTCAACTGGTAAGTTACAGTTTATTACAGGAAATTGCTATTTTATTATAAATTTTCATATGCAGTTTTTCTAGCCAATTTATTTACTGCTATGTGTTATTGGCCTTTCCATATCATAAACAGAATGTTTATGGTGCGACATGTAAACTGTACATTTTACGGCAAACAAAACAAATTTAACAACCACATTAATTGTTTGATGATCAGGAAGCAAGGTTTTAAGCATTTTTACATTCAAACATGATCGTTTATAAGTAAGCGTTTTGTTGCATTTAGTGAAAATTTAGAAAACCGGTTGTGTGTTTTGATTGAGGTATATAATACATTGTATTTTTCCCTGTCTAATTACGGATAATAGGTCATTATTCCCTATCATTCTGGTAAATATCCACTCAGGTTTTTGGATTTTAGAATCAGATTATTTACATGAAGTGGGAGATACTTGCCTTCTAAAATAATATCTTGCAACAAAGCAGTTGATAAAATCATTACAAACAAACTTTTAACTACAGAGCTAAGCTGATAAGTAGATAAGGTTTCAGAATATAATGGGAACTTTTATCCCTAGTTTTAGGGTAAAGTTGAAGCTACGAGGGCCCTTGAAGGGTGTTGTATTTTGTTTGCTTTTGCAGTGCCCTTGGTTTGTAGTCTTAGGGTTAAGGGATGCAGTGAACAGGAGGAAAGAGTTTGACTCAGCATGGCAGAGAATGAATGCTTGTTGCCTGCCCAATGTGCTTTCCCCATTAATCTTAATTACTGAACCTCAATTTTATTTTGGTGGCAGTGTGCCCAGCTACAGACTAAATATCCAGCCATTTTCCCAGAGGGAAGTAATGATAAGCACATAAATTCCGGCCAGTGTGACGCAAGTGGTAGGTATTGGGTGACTATGATAATTCATCTCTTTATAGGAGTCAGCTGTTAGGAGCATAGTTTTCCCTTGCTTTCTCTTCTTTCTGTCAGGAATAGGGAGCATGAGGTTGTGTCCATCACTTGCAATTAGTAGCCTTCATCATTAATGCTTTGTCTTAAAGCTGGGAGTGTAAATGTAGAAGAAAACTGGGTTCATTACAACTGTGGAATCATCATGTCTGTCCTGCACTAACTACTTTCAGATTACTTTTTCTGGGAGAAAATTAACCTATTTGTGTTATTTGTGTCTATGTATATGTATGTGTGTAACCTACCACTATTTGCTTTTTGTTGTTGTTGTTATTTATCACTGAATTTATTCTTCATTGGTATAAATCTGAGATTCCTGCATAAACCCAAGGCTCTCAGACTTAGGTAAAGGGAGGCCTAGAATCAAATAATCCTCTTTTTGACATAAGAGAATGAATGCCTGAAAATTTATCATTTTCATACTAAGGTCTAGCATTCATGAACTGGGAACCCATGAGTACTTGAAAGCACAAGTCTTCTTTCCCCTGAATACCTATCATCATGCTAGTGATTCTGTGAACCCCAGGCCAGGCCAGTAACGTACAGGGGTCCTTTCTACAAACTGATTCACAAATGGAAAAATAAATAAAAATGGCAATTAAGATGAAAAATAGGAACAGTTCAGAGGAAAATGGTCTGCTATGCATCCAGTTGCAGATCCACATGAAATTAGAAAAACTGAGAAGAGGTCCTTTTGAAAATGTAGCAACAAGTATTTTCAGGAACCAATGGTGTTACGACTCTTTGGATTTAGGAAGTCCACATACTGGAATTCACTCCTAAACAAATCAAAGTAAAATTATTGAACAATTAAGGACATTAGAAACACACAAACAGATTACCTTACAGAAGAAAGACAATTACCCTGAGAGCTCAATTCCAAAAAACAATTTTGGAATTAAGGAGACAGTGCAAAAATACCTTAGTATTGCTGAAGGAAAATATTTGTTAAGTTAGAAGTGTGTATACAGTTAAAGTATAAATCCAAGAGGTTGAAATAAAGGCAATTCAGACAAACAGATACTTACCAAAACAACTTCCAGTAGATGAACTTCAAGAAAGAAAAATATCGGTAAATGGATAGCAAGAAAGAACAAGTAGGAAAGTCACTAACAAACAAGGATAATTTCAACAAATATTGATTTTATTGAACAAATCCCTTCATATGCAATTTTTGCAATAAAACATGGAGGAAGTTAAATATTAAACAATAATGTGGCTGGGCACGGTGGCTCACGCCTGTAATCTCAGCACTTTGGGACTCTGAGGCGGGTGGATCTCTTAAGCCCAGGAGTTTGAGACCAGCCTGGCCAACATGGTGAAACCCCATCTGTACCAAAAATACAAAAAATTAGCTGGGTGTGGTTGCCAGGCACCTGTAATCCAGCTACTAGGGAGGCTGAGGCACGAGAATAGCTTGAACCCAGGAGGCAGAGATTGCTGTGAGCTGAAATTGCACCGCTGCACACCAGTCTGGGCAACAGAGTGATGTTCCATCACAAACAAACAAACAAAAACCCAAAACCAATAATAGCATGTAAGATTAGGGTAGATAGTTATTAAAGTTAATATATCCAAAATTTCTTTAATTTTGACCTATTTGGGTAGATATATTGATTAGCATTATGATTTATTTAGTGAAATATGAATGAAACTTCATTTGCAAGCATAAGGTAGACAGTGTTTAATTCAAACAGTTACTAGTAAAAGTTCAATTTAATTTAAATTATAAGGAAGGAGAAGCATGTAAGCATAGAAAAGCGCCACTAATATTAAACAAAATAAGGTAATTCAAGTATATCCAGGTGCGTTAGTAATCACAAAACACATAAATAAAATTAAACTGCTTTTTAAAATGGAGAGATGGTCAAATTGGTCAAGAAAACAAAAGCAAACTATGTTTTCAATAGATACATTTGAAACATAACAAGAATAAAGTTAAAAAATGATGAGGAAAGTATCTGACAAAGTAATTAATGCTTTAATAACAGGTATCATGGACAAAACAAGTCAAACCCTAATGGTAAATATTCCCATTCATGTGGAAAAATTTAAAATTCACAAATTTTGTGCATTTAGTACAATAAACATATAAATAGAAGATTACATATGATATAAATTTAACCTTCGGAAAATTGAGGTTAATGAAGAAATCAAAAGAATTTGACAAATATTCTAAACTTAACAACATTAAATATACTATGTCAAAACACCTAGAAGTGTATGTATATACATATGTGTGTAAATCTAACAAAATTTTTGGAGCCAAGGGTGGTGACTTACACCTGTAATCCCAGCTACTGGGGAGGCTGAGGTGCTGGGATCACCTGAGGCCAGGAGATTTAGACCAGCCTAGACAACATAGCCAGATTTTGTCTCTAAACAAATAAAAATAAAAATAAATTAGCTGAGCATGGTTCCACACCCCTCTACTCCCAGCTGCTTGGGATGTTGAGGTGGGATAATCACTTGAGCCCATGAGTTCATGGCGGCAGTGAACTATGATTGTGCAAATGTACTCCACCCACAGGGTGATAGAGCGAGATCTTATCTCAAAGAAATAAGAAATTGTGGAAGACTTTTATAGAGAACCTAGAAAAATTCAACTGAAAAATATTAAATAAGTCAAAAATTAATGAAGATCTATATTATGTTCACAACAGGAAGACACAACAGTTTAAGCTAGTGATCATTTTCAAATTGATGCATAGATTTATTTCCAGTCAAAATTCCAACATTTTTCTAAACATATAAAATATGTTACTAAAACTTTTAAAATACTTCTTAAGTGCTAAGAAAAATAATTTATGATTAAAAAACTAATTATGTTTTACCTCAAAGTAAGATTAAAAAAAAAAAAACTTAGAAGGGAAAATGATGAACTTACATAGTGGAGGAAGAACTTAAGCAGAATATATTCCAAATAATAGCTAACAGTATCCAGTATGTAATATACCATAGGTACTCAAAAATTGATTGCTAATGATTACCTGAAAATTTCAGGATAATTTTAGTTTCAGTTATTCTAAAATAGTTTTACTTAGTCATTAAATTTTTCAGTGGAAAGGGAAGAAAGGAGTGTTTCGTATGTCTTGAGATAAAGAAGATTATTCTTTCCATTTTTCTTCCAAATGAACAAGCATGTAAATTTAAACAAAAACTTTATTTTCTAATATAGTTTATAAATGTTGAATCTTCTAATAAAGTGTGCAAACCATAATAAGCAGCTATGTTTTTCTAAGTATTTAGCACCTAATATTGAGAGATAAGCAATGAGATAAAGTTTGTTTAACATATATTCTTTTAATGTAACCTACACGAACTCAATCTCACTAGCAGGTGGGTACCTAGGAGGTCATAATAATAGTAATACTCAGATTTTCCTAAGATATTGTCCCATTGGCAGAGTGTAACTCTTCAGGCACGTAACAATGCCTGCCTTAGTTGTTTTTGATAGTTTCTAAGAAAAACCTGTCCTACTGGAGTCAATTACCATTTCTTCTGCTTCAGTATCTAAATTGACAATGGCCTCTCCCCTGTATCCTTTGTGCCAGTAATGTCTAGGGGAGTATTCACTCCATGGTTACCATAAAGCCTCAAAATGATGAACGGACCTATTAGTTTACAGCAAGAGAGAACTATGCTACGTCCCATAAGACATTGAGAAGAATGATCACTGTTTTACAGTGGATGCAAATTGGAAGGCTAAGGCCAGTAGTCCCATTGTTGTTTGGACCACAGTGGAGCCAAGAAGGTGAAGAGAAGTGAGTGGGTATTAATATCTGTGTCCTTGAGTCTTACAAAGTTCTTTGTAAAAAGAGCACCCAGAGATAAAATTCATTGATTTTATTTTAGAAACAGGGACCAGATCACCACGTGTCCCCTCTTCTTAAAATGTGAACTTATTTTTGGCCTAGTAATTGAGAACGTTGAAAAATTATTATTAATCTAGCTAAGCTAATTATACTATATTCATATGGCTAAACCATGGATTTTTAATGATTACTATAAGTAAGATTACTATAAATTCCTTCTTAAGAATGAGGTGCCTAAGGCTCAAAAATTAAGGAGGGAGAATGCTCAGGATTCTGCAAGTACATGGGTGTCACCTGGGTGAGAATGTCTCCTTAAATTTAGAGCCCTTGTGCCAGGTTTGCTTCATGCTCGTCCTGACACTAAGTGTCATAATGGGCATATATATGCAACAAAGAGCTTCTTGTAAACCAGGCTGAGACAGCAACTAATAAAAATAAAAGGATATTTGCAATCATTATTTTAAGTGAACTACACATCGACACTCTTCTAAGGCAAAGAAGGAAATAAAATAGAGTCATTTTCCAAATAACTTCATTTATATAAATGATAAACCTGGAAAATGGAGGTTCCAAGCCTCTTACTCTCATCTAATACAATTTATTTCTAGACATATATATCTGGTTTATATTTTTATTTCTTGTGAAATTTAAAGTCAGGAAATTTTTAAATTAGGCAAAGGGAATCTAGTCATTATAAGTGAGAGACACAGGCTTGTGCCAGTGGTTGGATGTTCACATGCTTTCAAGGGACAAGCAGTCCTATAAATCAGCCCTGCAGGCTAAGGAGGGATTATAGAGAACTGCAGAAGTCATGCCTAGCCTAACGACACTCAACTTCAAAGTTTAAATACTGTGCTGGAAAACAAGAGTTCTAGTGATCTCGTATTTTGCTTTCCATGACTACTCTTTTAAAACCTGCCTATAAGATATATTATTAAATGTTTGTATATTTTCTTTATTCAACCTCTCCTCCTCCACCGACACACATCAACCACAGAACAGCAATAAAAGCAAAAACAATAAAAACAGCCTTGCACCAGAGAACCTGAAATGATCTTAGTTTGTGGTTTTTCTCCTGAAAGATGGGAGATAGGAAGGTGTTATTGACAATTTAA